TTCTAATTGGACCTCCAGCCCTCAGAATATTCTCAAGTCCTCAAGGTTTACAAGTTAGTCATTCTGCTATCTCTCATCATCATCAAATTTCTAAGTCTTCGAGGTGCGACCTTGGTGCACAAGGTTCATGGATTTTAGGAATTGACCAACTCTCAAGTATACTATTGTGGACCCCCGCCACTTGTTACAGATTCACTTAAAGGAAAGTAACCTGCAAACTTCCTATAAGTCCCCACAAAGTACTATCTATAATAAAATAGGTCATTTCAATAGTTATCTGAATCTGTGACAATTGGCAAACCCCTAATTGTCTCCTCACCGATTATTCGGACCCCTAACATGCATGTTAATTGACGAACCCCTAATCGTCCCTGTATAACTACTAACTCACATGCATGAACAATAAATCAAGAGTCATAAGATCGACCAACTCTAATGTACCACTGTGGACCCTATCACTCTTGACAGGTTCACTAATAGAAAATTAACTAGTTAATTTCCTAGAAGTCTCCACGGAGTACCATCATCAATAAAATGTTCAGTTCTATAGTTATTTAGACCCCTGACAATCGAGTCAGGTTTATTATTAGGGGTTAGTTGGCGAACCCCTAATCGTTCCCGTATAACAACTAACATCACAACATATGTAACAAAGACATAGCATAATAATTTAAACATGGAAAACCTAGTCATAATTTTCAATCATAGGGCAATGCAAATCATAGGACAATGCATACACATTTCAATACACATACATAATTATTTTCAACATGTGTCATCTCATCTCAATATCAAATCAACTAATTTCATGCTCAAATTCCTATGACATAGTCTCATATCATACTTTCATGCATACTACGAGTATAGCTAATTCCAAGGTTTCGAGGTACCGGAGGCATGACACCATTTGTTCGTGTTTGCGTCTCTAGGGGGTTCTAAAATTTGCCAAGCTCCTCAAATAATTCCTACATTGGAAAAATGAGGAATACCGATGAAAACTGTGTCAAAATTGAGGTTAAAATGGGAGGATTACTTGATCTCCACAGAGGCATGCTTGACATCTAGAATTATAGTAATGGGAGGTGGGTCATAGGTATATCACCTCATACTGGACCTTAGAAAGTCTTATGTACATGTCTATGGGTTGGACATCACGCGCTTTACGGAGTCACCTCCCTATCTTCCTAAGGCCAGTAAGCGTGACCGCACTCAGCCTCCTCACAATAACTCAAATTTGGCATTGACATAAATAGAGTGAACAATCACTATTAAACACCCTAAGGCATAACCACAGTTACCACTTAACCCAAGACAAACATCAAATTTTTACAAACCTTACAACAACTCACAATTTACTAAACAAGGTTAGACTGTATACCTGGCCACGACGAGGCGTGTCGTCGAGCTGGGTCACAGAGGTGAAGGACTCTCTATCCTAGAAAAAGTCTACAGATAATCTAAAATCTGGCCTTGATACCAATCTGTCACAACTTAATTTTCGAGGATTCAAAAATCAGACCGTGACCAAAAAGACAAAAGTGAAAACAAATAAAAAGAAAGAAATGAGAAGAAAAGTAAAATAAAAAATGAAAATCCAATAAAATTAAAACTAGAAGTTTAATTTTCAAATACTATAAAGGGGTTACAAATTTTATAAAAAAAAAGAAATACAAATATAAAGGGAATTTACAAAAGACTCCAAAAGGCTAAAATCGGACTGACACTTTGGAACAACCCCCTCTTTGACCGCACAGCTCTCAAACGCTCCCCCACCTCAACCGGTAACTAGCGAACACCTGAAAAAAATAGGAAAACTAGGATGAGTAAAATAATTATACTAAGTAAGCCACCTACTTGTAGACTCTCATCGCATCCTAAGCTTAATGAATCTCACGGGATCCTAATTGGCTCTAGGACATTTGGTTCTGGTCTTAGTCCCTAGGGGATTGCCCCTTGAAGGTTCACTGGTTCTCCATCCTTTCATTTGATACCTAAGGGTTCTTTATGTTGAGCTGTAATGAACGGTATCTCTCTAGAGGCGCTAACTCTGCATGACTATATGAGATTATATGGTATCTAGCCTAGGGGGGTGTTGAGTACCTCCTAAGCCCATAATAGTCCCGGGGGAGCCAATCCATTCTCGTGCAGTTAACAGGCTATACGACATGGGGACACATTTCCCATGCGAAATGGCTGGGAGTAGTGAGAACTGATCAGGAACCTCGGGTCCTCCCATGAAGCTATAGATACCGTTCACACAACTAACAACCTAGGAACACTCCTAAGGTACTTTTTTGTCGTGGTAATCTGTTAGGTTCCTATGGGGAAGATTATGTCTAGACTGAGTAACTTGTCACTACTAACCACAAATCTCTAGGCTTATCATAGTAATGGGTCATGGAAAATAACAAAGTGTGCATGCAACCCTCATCTAACATCAACATACATACTTCATGCAAATTAGACACACATGCTCAAGGAGGCGATAGCTTTCATCAAGCACCTGGAACGCTGAAGTAAGATACTAATCAACTCGATTTCTTCAACAAAGTTGTAGATCCTAATCTTGATTATGTCCTATTATTTTTTCTTAAACTTTTACTCCAACATATGTCGATTTAAGGACTTCGGAAGTAGATACATTCATCTTATCATCCTTGGAAATAACTCTCGAATTAGTAGTTTTCTACCAAGTCCTTTCACGGATCTGTTTGCCTATTTGTTGGAGGGGATTTTTGTTGTGCGCCGAAAGCGGAACAAATGTACTCACAACACTAAATTTACTCATGGCATACAATTTGCACAGAAAACTTGATGATTTCAACAGCAGAAAGAATGGCATTATATAGCCTTCTGCTAAACCTAAATATAAACTAACAAGCCTAGAATAGGTCATCTAAATATAAGCTAACAAGACTAGCAAGACCTTGAGAATAGGTCACCCAAATATAAACTAACAACCCTAAAAATAGAATAGGGCTTATGACAGTGCTTAACAATTTTGACTCTATCCTGCTTGAGACAATATGCATCGAACCTTCTCTATTAATGTCTGGTTCATTCTCTCAGCAACTCCATTTTGTTGTGGCTTACCAGGAACAGTGAAGTGTCGAACGATCCCTTCATCTCGGCATACTTTAAGGAATGGATCATAAGTATATTCTCCCCCGTTGTCTGATCTCAGCCTTTTGATTTTCTTGTCCGTCTGATTCTCTACCATTTTCTTCCACTCTAGGAAGATTTGGAGAACCTCGTTTTTGTGCCTCATGGGATACATCCAAACTCTCTTCGAGTAGTCATCAATAAAGGTGACGAACCACCTCTTTCCTCCCAATGAGACATTCTTTGTGGGACCCCATACATCAGTGTGAACATAATCCAAAATGCCCTTTGTTTGGTGTATAGCTGTACCAAACTTCACATTTTTTTGTTTGCCAAATATACAATGTTCACAGAAATCAATTCTTTCAGTTGTGGCACCCTTAAGGACTCCTTGGTTCACCAGTGTCTGAAGCGCCTTCTCACCAGCATGCCCGAGTCGCATGTGCCATAATTTCGATATGTCTTGTTCTTTCGAACTTGCCACAGCAGCATGCCCAATTATTGTGGTTCCGTTGAGGTAGTATATGCTACCTCTTCTAGTTCCTGTAATTGCCACCAAAGCTCCACGAGCTACTTTCAAATTCCCTCCTTCCAAAATGATGCGATAACCACTCGCATCCAAAACGCCAAGTGAAATCAAATTTTTCTTCAAGTCAGGGACATACCTCACATCTTTGAGTTTTCGTATAACCCCATCAAACATCTTGATTTGTACTGAGCCGATTCCCATTATCTTACAAGTACTATCATTTCCCATATAGACAACTCCACCATTGAACTCCTTGAAGTCCAAAAACATCTCTTTGTTGGGACACATATGATAGGAGCACCCAGAATCAAGAATCCATTCACTGGTTTGGCTGACTGATTGGGAGATTGTCAAGGCATCATCCGTATCAGTGTCGTCATCTCTAACCACATTGGACTTCGACCCCTTCTCTTTTAAGATCGGACAATCCTTTTTCCAATGGCCTTTCTGTCGACAATATGCACACTCATTTTTATCAAGTTTTCTCCAATTATCAGATCTACCTCTCGACTTTAATCGAGACTCTCCACATTCGTTCTTTTTCCAATTGGAAGTCCTTCCATGAGCAGTGAGAACATTTGAGCTAGAGCTTTGATACGTCTCCTTTTCCTTCTTTCGCATCTCATTGTTTATTAAGGCATTTGAAACATCTTCAAAATCAATATCAGTAATTCCATGTAGTAGGGTCGTTACTAAAAACTCGTAGGATTCCGGCAAAGAGTTTAATAACAACAACGCCTTGTCCTCGTCATCAATCTTAACATCAAGATTGAGCAAATCAGTGATGATTTTGTTAAAATCATCCAAATGCTCAGCCATTGAGATGCCTTCCTTGTAATCAAAACGGAAGAGTTTCTTCTTCAAATAGAGTTTATTTTCCACACTCTTCTTCATATATTTCGCTTCAAGCTTGTCCCATAATTCTTTCGCCATGGTAACCTTCATAAATGGATATTTCTGATCCTTGCCAAGACAGGATCGAATAATTCCACAGGCTTGCCGATTTAATTTCGTCCATTCTGCTTCTTCATGTCTTCAGGCATTTCCTCTTGGAGAGAGACATCGAGGTCTTGCATGACCAACAAATCGCTAACTTCGCCTCGCCAAACACCAAAATTATTGGTTCCATCAAATTTCTCTACTTCAAGATTGGAACTCCACACTCTCGATCCACGTCGTGATGGTTCTGCCATTTGCAATAATTAATCTGGATGAAACTCAAAAACACAATTCTTGAAAATTGATTTTCAAGAGAATAACCACGATTGTGAGCACGTCTAATGGTCGATGATGCCCAAGCTTTCACAATACCCCAAAATACCACAACCTAGCTCTGATATCACTTGTTGTGCGCCGAAAGCGGAACAAATGTACTCACAACACTAAATTTACTCAAGGCATACAATTTGCACAGAAAACTTGATGATTTCAACAGCAGAAAGAATGGCATTATATAGCCTTCTGCTAAACCTAAATATAAACTAACAAGCCTAGAATAGGTCATCTAAATATAAGCTAACAAGACTAGCAAGACCTTGAGAATAGGTCACCCAAATATAAACTAACAACCCTAAAAATAGAATAGGGCTTATGACAGTGCTTAACAATTTTGACTCTATTTGCCCATTTGTTGATTTTGACCCTCTTTTTTATTTTTTTTTTAATATTCGGGAGCTACAGTTATCTTCTACACGTTCGAGGGTTTCTTGAAAAGAAAAACTTACGAATCTCTTACCTATTTGCCCATTTGTTGATTTTGACCCTCTTTTTTTGTTTTTTGTTTTTTTTTTTTTAATATTTGGGTGCTACAGTTATCTTCTACACGTTTGAGGGTTTCTTGAAAAGAAAAACTTACGAATCTCTTACCCAAGACGATGCCTCGATCCTCTACCACCCTTCGTCTCTCAAAACTCTCGTACCTTAAGCTTCAAGGTTCGGCAAACCCTCACATGTCTCAGGCACAAGGTTTCCGGTGGATGTGGATTTGTAACGAATATTTCAAGCGAGTGGATCTCTGAGGGTTAGTGTGTTTCCGCTCCACCCCGTTGGCTCCTTAAATTCTTCTCTTTTTTTTTCCTACTATCAAGTAGCCACAATAATGGGCGGTTGAGCAGTCCTTTCGCTGCTAATGGCTTCTGATGGACCGTTAGTAGTAGTGTATGGTGACGTCTGCCACATGACTTCCCTCTTCTTTTTTTTTTTCTTTTTTTTTATTTACACCATGGGTATTACCGGTCATTCTCCCTCTAAGAACTTTTGTCCCCGAAAGTTTCTAGTACTTAAAACAGATTAGGATACCACGTCCTCATATCGCTCTCTCATTCCTAAGTTGCTTCTTCGGGCCTATGGTTACCCCACTGCACCTTGACCAGACTGATTTCTTTATTTCGCAAGGTCTTCACACATCTCACTAGGATCCTTGTGGGGTATTCCTTGTAACTCAAATCTTCCCGCCGAGGTAGTGGCTCAAAGACAATCACGTTTGAGTCAGCAGTATACTTTCTAAGCATTGATACGTGGAACACATTATGGACTGCAGCGAGAGCTGGTGTCAAAACTTTATAGGGGCTAAGTCTCCCTCTCTTCCTGAACCTCAGTACTCCTTTTATATAAGAGTAAACTTCAGAAGCACAGGACCCCACCTCAAATTTCGAAGATTGGTTAGTAGTTGATTAATTTTAGGAGAAAGTTTAGGAATTTGAGAAGGAAGTTGCACAGGATCCCACCTCAAATTTGGAAGATTGGTTAGTAGTGGATTAATTTTAGGAGAAAGTTTAGGAATTTGAGAAGGAAGTTTACAAGATCAGATGCATGTTAAAAAAAAAAAGGAGAATTAATAGAGCATACGTGCTTAAGGTTCCTCTATCCAAAAGCTCTCTCCCGTCAAGTTGTTCTTCTACTTCAATTATTATTTTTTTTTTACATTTTTTGATTGTGGGCAATTTCCAACATTTGATATTAGTGATAGGATGTTGGAAAAATGTCGTCATCCCAAGAAATTGCCGAAGGAGATGTGACAATGATAAGGAGCGGAAGGGAGGGGAGTGACGCTCCAGTACCCGTTACTCACGAAGAGTAACTACACAACATGGTCAATAAAGATGCGTGTTAACTTACAAGCACAGGGCGTATGGAACGTTGTCGAACATGGTGACGTTGAGGAGTGTAATGACAGAATGACTCTTACTGCCATCTACTAAGCAGTCTCGGAGGATGTCTTTCTCATTTTGGCAGAGAAGGATTCGACAAAGGCAACATGGGAGACACTGCAAACAATGCATGTGGGTGTGGAACGTGTCAAGGAAGCAAAGGTGCAGACATTGAAGAGTGAGTTCGAGGCTATCCGGATCAAGGGTGGTGAGTCAATAGATGATTTTTCCATGAAGTTGATGGCGATCGTCAACGACATCCGTTCATTAGGCGACGTGGTGGAGTAGATCTCCATCGTCAAGAAGTTCCTTCAAGCTGTTTGTGTTGTCTCTGACTTAGCGTCTGGTGAGGAAATCTTGACGAAGGAAAACTGTCGAAGAAATTGTTGGAGAAGAAAAAATAGAAAAGCGTGAGAAAATAACAGAGAGAAAGAATAGGAAGATTTGGAATTTGACTTTGAGCTTGTATTTCTCATTTAATTTACCTATTTAAAACAAATTACATTTTAATAATGGCCTAAGTGACCAACAAATCTTGCACTAAAGTAGGCTCAAATGGCCAGCTAAAAATATGGAGCTAAAAATATGGTCTACCATTATGCAAGTATGCGTAAATTCAGATGACCTTAAAACAAGATTCAAACGACTGATTTTAAGAAAAACATGCTAAATAAGGAGAAAAATCACAGTTTTTTATCTAACAATCTCGTCCTAAAATTTGTGGTATATCTACCTTATTATTTGAACTCTGATCTTTGAGCGAAATTCCTCAAATTTTACCCGCGCAAGAGACTTGGTGAAAATGTCTCTAAGCTGTTCCCCTATTCGAATGAAATCAATCTGGATGAGCCCCCTATCTGCACATTCCTGGATGCAGTGGAATCTGATTTCTATGTGCTTGCTCCGGTCGTGAAAAACTGAATTTTTGATCAGGGAAATCATAGCTTTATTCTCCACGAATAGCATTGGTGGATCGCCTTCCCTTTCGATGAGTTCTTCCATCAGTCGCTCAAGTCAGACCCCTGTGTTGTCGTCGTCGAAGTGGCGATGTATTCTACTTCACAAGAAGACAAAACAACTACCTTTTGTTTAGTTGATTGCCAGCAGATCGCGCCGCCTGAGAGGAAGTAAATCATCCCGCTAGTGCTCTTACGATCATCAACGTCACCGGCCATGTCACTATCACTGTAGCTGACGACCTCAAGCTTCTTCTTTCCTCTCCCTGCGTAGCATCTCACACCCCAGCCTCTAGTTTCAGCCACATAGCGTAGGCTTGACAGCCACAAGATGCTCTTTCCTAGGTGCTTCCATAAACCTACTCACGTATCCAACAGAGTAAGCAAGGTCAGGGCGTATGTTTACTAGATAGCGCAGGTTCTCGACAATAATGCAGTAACTGATGGAGTCAATTGCCGTCATAGTGTCGGCCTTCCTCAGCTGGAGTCGGGCCTCCATTGGCGTCCTTGTAGCTGTCCGCTATCCCAGTTGTGTCCAGCAACTTCTTTGCGTACGTACCTTGACAGATGGGGATGCCAGCAGTACTCTGTTACACTTCGATGTCGAGGTAGTAGCTGAGTGTCACAATCGCACTTTTGATGGCAGCGGACTTGCGATTCAATTTGTTCTTGCGTCGCCTACAACCAAGCGACGTATACTCGAGCCTCTGACCTTGATTTTAAGAGAAGGTTTTAGAAAATGAGGGTAGAGAGAGATTTTCGAAAGAGAGATTTTTTAAAGAGACGTTATATAAGCAAGCAAGAGAGAAATAACAATGGCTCACAGTATATAACCTTGGGCAGGGAGAAGTTGACAACTAGTCATATCCCCCTATAGTACATTCTGAGGCATTTCATGTCTGACAGGCCTAGACATGATATTTCTGAAATGTCATATTTCCTAGAAATACAAAATTAAAACACTAGAATATTGAAAGACATAAAGGGTTGGGCTTGTCATGGGCATGCGGCCATGGGCAACATGCCTTGGACAAGCATGACCGTGACATCCTCCCCCACCTAATTGGTTGACATCCCTGTTAACCGACTACTTTCAAACCTGGCAATGTGGGTGGCGGTGGAGTCCAGATCTTCGGCGCGTTCCTAGTTGGTTTCCCCCGTAGGGAGATTATTCCATTTGACAAGGAATTCACGAATCGTCCGTACAGGTCTTCCTATCTTCCTAACCCTATCGGCTTGGATCTCCTCTATTTCTTTGTTGTCTCTTTGTTTCAGATCGATGCTCAGTCTCGTGATTACATTTCGCTGGTCGTCGTTCGGGTCAGGGTGATAGGGCTTCTAGTTGCTCACATGAATTACTGGGTGGGTTTTCATCCATGTGGGTAGTGCAACTCTGTAGGAGGTAGCCCCGATCTTTTTAAGGACTTCAATCGGGCCTTCATATTTTTGAACTAGTCTCTGGTCCTTTCGGTTGTGAAATCTGATCTGTTCTAGTCTCAACTTGATGAGGACTTGATCTCCTGCTCGGAATTGGAGGGGGCGACGCTTCTTGTCCTCCCACTTCTTCATATGCTTGGAAGTTTTCTCTAAATATGTCTAGGCTATATCTGTTGTCCGATTCCATTCTCTTGTGAATTTTTGAGCTTGAGGGGTTTTCCCTGCGTAAGGATGATCAATAATATGGGGCAAGGTTGGTTGTTGTCCACTTACAATTTCGAAGGACTCTTCCCTGTAGACGAGCTCGTTTGACAATTGAAACAGAATTGGGCGACATTTAGCAGTTGTATCCAGTTCTTCTGGCGAGTGTCAACGAAGTGACGTAGGTATTCTTCGAGCAAGCAGTTGAACTGTTCCTTCTGTCCATCGGTTTGAGGATGATAGCTCGAGGAGATGTTTAAAGTCGTTCCCAAGATGGCGAATAATTTGGTCCAAAATGTGCCAATGAATCTACCATCCCTATCACTGATGATGCTCGACGGAATGCCCCATAACTTGACAACATGTTTGAAAAATAGTTGGGTTGTTAGTTCCGCCGAGAATAATTTGGGAGTGCGGACGAACGTTGCATATTTCGAGAACCGGTCTACGATAACCAAGATGGCATCATATTCCCCGACTTTTTGGAGGTGTGTTATGAAGTCCAGAGACACACTTTCCTAAGGCCTTGTTGGCACAAGTAGAGGTTCCAAGAATCTTGAGACTTTGGCTTTCTTGACTTTGTCCTGTTGGCAGATGAGGCACGTCTTGGTGTACTGCATGATACCGTCCCGCATATTAGGCCAGAAGTACCCCTTTTTTTATTAGGGCATATGTTCTTTGCAACCCAGGGTGTCTGCCTCATAAGGTATCATGACATTCCTGAATGAGCTTCTTCCTCAGTTCTTCCGTTCTTGAGACGTATAATCTATTTCCTTTAGTCATTAGAAGGTCTCCCTCAACCCAAAACTGTCCTGTCTTCCCAGCTTTAGCTAGTTTGATGACGGCTTTGGCCGATGGGTCTTTGTGTAAATGTTCTTTGATGATGTCGCGCATCGATCCATCGATCTTACTTGAATGGATATGGGCTAACATGCACAGAGCCGCATGTTCGCCTTTCCGAATCAGCGCATCGGCTGCTTGATTACTCTTTCCTGCCTTGTATTCGAATTTGAAGTCGAATTCCGCCAACGACTCCTACCACTAGGCTTATTTCACCGTCAATTTTGGTTGATCGAAGAAGTGGAAAATGGCGCTGTTATCCATCTTCACTATGAACTGTGATCCCAAGAGATACTGTCTCCAGACTCGTAGGCAATGGACCACTGCCAGCATTTCTTTTTCGGAGAAAGTGTATCTCCGTTCAGCATCATTGAGCTTTCGACTTTCATAAGCAATGGGGTGGCCTTCTTGAATAAGGACACCACCTAGGGCAAATTCGAAAGCATCTGTCTCTATTTCAAATGGCTTTGTAACATCTACTAACTCGAGGACAGGACCCCTCGTCATGGTTGCCTTTAGATCTTCAAAATCCATTTTACATTTATTTGACCACGATCAAGGGTGGTCTTTCTTCAGGAGCTCTGTTAATGGGGCGGCTCGTCGTGAAAACCCTTCAACGAACCGCCTATAGTAGTTTGTGAATCCTAGGAAGGATCGCACATCAGATATGGAAGTAGGTATTTTCCACTCTTGGATAGCTTTTATCTTATCGCTATCCACATCGATCTGTCCACAACTGATGACATGTCCAAGGAAGTTGATGCATGTTAGTGAAAGGCACATTTTTCTTTCTTGGCGTACAATTGATTCTGCCGCAGCTTGTCAAACACCAACTTCAAGTGCACCTTGTGTTGCTCTAGAGTTGTGTTGTATATAACTTGTCGTCGAGGTATACTATGACGAACTGACCCAAGTATTCGTAGAAAACCTGGTTCATTAACATGTAAAACGTAGCTAGGGCATTTGTCAAGCCAAAGGGCATTACCCGAAACTCAAAGGTCCCATATCTTGTTACACACGTCGTCTTAGACTCGTCCCCTTCGGCGATACGTACTTGGTAGTACCCTGATCGTAAGTCCAACTTCGTGAAGTATTTGGCTTCGTGAAATTGGTCGAACAAGTCAGATATTATCGATAGTGGGTATTTGTTGCGTACCGTCACCTTGTTTAAGGCTCTATAATATATGCACAGACGCAACGCCCCATCCTTCTTTTTCTGAAATAGTACGGGGGCTCCGTAAGGTGCCTTTGCCGGGCGGATGAATCCTACCGTCAACAACTCATCTAGTTGTTTCCTCAATTCGGCTAACTCAAGGGGAGCCATCTGGTATGTGTTCTTCACTAGGGCTTAACCCCGGGAAGAAGTTCAATTTCATGATCAATGCCTTGACGGGGTGGTAATGTTTGTGGTAAGCTCTCTGCATTATGTCAGCATAGCTGTTTAGTACCTCCTTGATTTCGCTTGAAATAGTTTCCTCAGTGGTCACTTCTTCCATCTGTGGTATGGCCATAAATGTAGGTTCCTCTCGTGTGAGTCCTCTTTTCAATTGTATGGCCGAGATCATTCTAAGATTACCTGGTTGCTTGATGCTTGCAGGGTTACTGTGGGGTTGTGGTTGGTGATCACCAAGCATTTCGCCAGTGGCATTGGAATAACTTTGTTTTCTAGAAGAAACTTCATCCCTAGTACCACGTCACAGTCGTCCATGCGAACCACAATAAGGTCCAACTCTCCTGTCCAAGTCCCTAGTTTGAAGGGGACTCTTCTGGAAACTCCCACAATAGGCAAGGCCTCGAGTTGACAACTATCATTTTTTCAGGGTCCTTTTCTATGGTGAGTCCCAATCTTCGTGCTTCTTGATCGGCGATGAAGTTGTGGGTCGCTCTTGAGTCTTACAAGGTGCTCTTGCTTGGTCGAGATTTTATTGTCGCATCCACAAACATGAGCCCTTTCTCTATTATCTCCTTCGGGTCGACTTTCCGTTGGAGGGCAGACAAGAATTTGAGCACGCCCATTTGAGGGTTGTCTTGATCTTCCTTCTTGTCTTGCGTCGTCCTGACTCCTGTGTCGTAACTCTCTTGAATGGACACTTGGAGTGCACTTGAGAGAGGCCTAATGAGGATAGTAGGACAGTTGTGGGACCTTTACACAACAGGCATTGTAAAGGTGTTGTCGGGTGGTTCTTTTGAGGGTAAGGTCCTCGAGATGTTCCCGCTTGGTTGTTTTGATAAGGTCTATCTGTCCACCCGCTTGGTCTGTCGTTACTTCCGTTTGGCCTATTGGGGCTTCCATTTCAATGATCTGGTAGTTTATATGTTTTTCCCCTAGTGTTTGGGGCCTGTGTTGCTCTTCTTTGGAAACCCGCTTCGTTCCCATAGTCTAGAAGTCTCTCAGCGCTGGCAATTGCGGTAGCTAGGTCTTGGACCTTTTTCTCGTGTATTTTTGTTTTGGCCCACGGTTGTAACCCATTTATAAAGAAATACCTTGTCCTTCTCTGATGTGCCCCTGATATCTAGCATCAGGGTCGAGAACTGCCTGACATAGTCCCTTATGCTTCCAATTTGCTTTAGGGCTATTAATTTTTTCATTGCCAGATGTTCTACGTTTTCGGGGAAGAATTGGTCCCTCAACTCTCTCTTGAGGTCTTCCCACGAGTCTATGGTGCACAATCCATTCTCGATGTCTTGCACCTTCCTATGTCACCTAAGTTTGGCATCGTCTATGAGATACATCGAGGCTACTGTCACCTTTATATCGTCGATACAAGCCGTTGTAGCTTTGAAGTACTGTTCAACATCAAAGATGAAGTTCTCCAACTCTTTGGCATCTCGGTTCCCTTTGAAAGGTCTAGGGTCTGGGAACTTCAATTTGTTTGATCCTGTATTGGTTTGCCCAGCCGTGACGTTCTCCATGGCTTTCATGGTCACCTCAATTTGGGTGCTCATGACGGACATCTTTTCTTGGATGTCATCGATCGTTGTTCTGAATTCGTCAGCTAATCCATTGAACAAACTCATCAATATATTTTCTAGCACGTCGAACTCTTCGTCACGTCCCTCCTTGTGCGCGACAAAGCTATTCGGGCTACCAAACGGTCTTGGGCTGCTCGTATGAGCAACTCTTTCTTCGAGTGAGGTCACTCGAAACATTAGTTCTGCGATTGACAACCCATCCAGGCGGTTGCCCATTGCGTCAATTTCTACGACTTTTCCATTCAATTTTGTCACCCGTGCTTCCAGGAAGTGGATGGTGTCAGGGACTTCTTTGAGGAACAGCATTTTCTCCTCTATTAGAGTAAGTCGGTCGGCTTGTGATTTGGGTGTTGACTTTGTGGTCGACATGTTTTCGGTCTTTGCTATGTCACGGAACTAACAAAGCTCTGATACCACTTGGCACAATCGCACTTTTGATGGTAGCGGACTTGCGATTGTGCGACACTCACTTTCCAACGACAAGTGAGCTAAGCCAATTCATTCTTGCGTCACCTACGGCCAAGCGATGTATGCTCGAGCCTCTAGCCTCGGTTTTAAGAGAAGGTTTTAGAAAACGAGGGTAGAGAGAGATTTTCAAAAGAGAGATTTTTGAAAGAGATGTTATATAAGCAAGCAAGAGAGAAATAACAACGGCTCATAGTATATAACATTGGGTAGGGAGAAGTTGACAACTAGTTGTTTCCCCCTATAGTACATTTTGAGGCATTTCATGTCTGACATGCCTAGACATGATATTTCTGAAACGTCATACTTCCTAGAAATACAAAAGTAAAACACTAGAATATGAAAAGACATAAAAGGTTGGGCGTGTCATGGGCATGCGGTCATGGGCAACACGCCTTGGACGAGCACGACCGTGACACTGAGCATGCCGAGATCACTCATCTTGAAGTTCTTTGACATCTCCCTCTTGAATCTTCCCAAGGACTTCCATGTCGCCTCTAGTAATTAAGAGGTCATCGACTACACTCCCACGATCAGTCATTGCTCGCCATGGCCGTGTGTGTACATACCATGCTCAAAGGCACATCGCTTGAACTTTAGCGACAGCAGGTTATTGTCGAGCTTCACGTTCCAGGCTCATGGTGCTTGACGGTTACCATTAGCTTTACGTTGAGCAAAGCGGACGTCACGTCCATGTGTTGGACCTCCCAGGAATGATGTGCCGCCATCACCAGTAATAGGCGGACAGATTCCAACCTTTCCATCGGGGCAAATACCTCTTCGAAGTCCATTTTAGGGTCGCACAACAACGCACACGCTCAATCTAGATGAACACAAAGAACAGGATAGAGAAAAGTGCAAAGAGAACTCTGGCTAAAAGAATTTTTGTTTTATTGATGACTTCACGTATGTACAGTAAGAGAGAATTACAGAGAATACAGAAAGTACATTTTCAAAGCTCTACCGGATAGTATATATATATGATTCAGTTTACTATATATAGCTTTATTAGATTTAACCATCTACTATATATAGCTATTTACCATATATAGCTTTACCAGATATAGCTTTACTATATATAGCTTTACCATATATAGCTTTACCATATATAATTTTACCAAATATAGTTTTACCGGATATAACAGTTGACCAAGCTATAAATAAGAGAGCAAACTCCATAATCTAACAATTTTCCCACTTGAAGACTGATCCTACACCATACCAATTAAGGCTTTGCATAACCTTAATTTTCCAACATCAACCCATTTTGTCAATATGTCTGCTGGATTCTTTGCACCCTCTATCTTCTCCAAACACATCGCCTTCTTCCACTAACCTGCGAGTGAAATGGTATCGTCTTCTAATGTGTTTTGTCCTTGAATGATAGACTGAGTTTTTCACCAACTGTATGGCACTCTGACTATTTGTATAAAGGATCTTCTTGCACTGCTTTCGGCCTAATTCTTCTAGATAGTTTGTCATCCATATCATCTTCTTTATAGCTTCAGTTATGGCCACGTACTCAACTTTAGTAGATGAAAGAGCAACGCATTTCTAAAGCTTGGACATCCAACTCACTGTTGTTCCATCTATAGTGTAGATATATCCAGATGTGCTCTTGCTGGAGTCTACATCTCCACTCAGATCAGTATCCACAAAACTTTGCAGAACTACTTTGCCATTGTCATAACAAAGTGAAGTATTGGATGTACCTCTCAGATATCTCAGAAGCCACTTCACAGCTTCCCAATTTTCCTTCCCTGAATTTGCCATGTACTTGCTAACAACTCTCACTGCATGTGTTATGTCAGGTCTAGTGCAGACCATAGCATACATCAAGCTCCCAACAGTGGAAGCGTACGGAACTGATGTCATGTGCTCACGTTCCTCAACTGTCTTGGGAGATTGCCTCTTTGACAATTTAATATGATTTGCCAAGGGGGTAGTCCTAAGTTTAGCGTTATTCATCTTGAATTTGGACAACACCTTCTCAATGTACTGCTCTTAGGATAGATTTAATGTGCCAACAAATCTATCTCGAGAAATCCTCATCCCAAGAATCTACTTCGCTGCACCTAAATCTTTCATCTCAATACTGAAGACAAGCTTGCCTTCAGGTGGTTTATCTCCCTTATACTTGATCCAGCAATTAGTATATCATCCACATACAGGAGTAGAAACACATAAGAATCAGTGTATTTCTTGAGGTAGCAACACTGATTCTTTTCACTCCTCTGGAAACCACTCTTGCACATGAAGGAGTCAAACATCTTGTACCATTGTCTCGGTGCTTGTTTCAGTCCATACAAGCTCTTATTGAGCTTACACACCATGTGCTCCTTGCTTAGAGCTGTAAACCCTTCTGGTTGTTGCATATATATCTCCTCATCTAGATCTCGATGTAAAAATGCCGTTTTTACATCCATTTGCTCAAGGTGCAAATTCTCCGATGCAACAATACTCAGCAGAACTCGGATAGTAGTTAATTTCACCACTGGAGAAAAGATCTCAGCATAATCAATGCCTTTTCTTTATGAATATCCTTTAACTACTAACCGAGCCTTAAACCTCCTTCTGCCATCTGGTTGAACCTTGATTCTGATCACCCATTTGTTCAACAGAGCTCTCTTTCCTATAGGCAACTCAGTCAACACCCACGTATTATTCTTTTCAAGTGAGCTCATCTCATCATCCATGGCTTGCTCCCACTTGGTTGAATCTTCCACTTGTAGGGCCTCATCAAAGGACTCTGGTTCTCCTTCGTCAGTCAGTAACAGATAATGTAATGAGGCTGAATATATATCTGGTGCTCTGATAGTTCTGGATGATCTTCTCAACACCTGCTCATGTGCAACTTGCTCCACGTCTGATTCTTCAGCAATAGGATCAGGAGTTTCTTGAGCTTCGGTTGTAACATCACTGCGTGAATTTTCCTGCCACTCAAGTTCAACTCCCACTTGCTTTGTAGTCTCAGAGTTTATCTTCTCTCTGTCCTTGTACATGACATTTTCATCAAAGGTCACATCGTAGTGTCTTAGGATTTTCATATTTTTCTCATCCCAAAACCTGTACCCGAACATGTCAGAGTCATAGCCTATGAAGTAACATTTCACAACCTTAGCATGAAGCTTATCTCTCTTCTCTGGATCAACATGAACATACGCAGTACAACCAAAAGTTCTCAAGTGAGAGTACTTGAGTTCTTTTCCTGTCCATACTTCTTCGAGCAATTTGAACTTCAAGGGTACTGACGGCCCTCTATTAATCAAATATGTTGTTGTGTTCACAGCATCAGCCCATTATATCTTTGGTAGTCTAGAGTGAATCCTCATGCTTCTTGCTCGCTCATTCAATGTTTTGTTCATCCTATCTGCAATACCATTTTGTCTTGCCTTACCGAGAATTGTTCTTATTAATCTAATTCCCTCAGCTGCACAAAATATTATAAACTCTGATTTGTTGTATTCTCCTCCATTGTCAGACCTCAGGCATTTGATCTTCAAGCCGGTCTGATTTTTAACTTCAGCTTTCCACTTCTTGAAGGTGGTAAACACATCTGACTTGTGTTTCAGAAAGTAAACCCATGCCTTCCTACTGAAGTCATCGATGAAGGTGACGTAGTACCTTGATCCACCAAGTGATGAAACTGGAGATGGTCCCCAGACGTCTGTATGGATCATTTCCAACCGCACTTTCTTCGGTTCACTGGCAGCCTTTGTGAAACTAACTCATTTCTGTTTGCCCATAACACAGCTCTCACAAAAACCCATATCAACAAATTTTAAGCCTTCTAAAGCTCCTTTCGCAGTCAACATCTTCGTTCCTTTGACGCTCATATGTTCAAGTGTATTGTGCCATAGACTTGAATTGGAAGCACTCTCAGCAGCAGCATTCATGTTTATACACTCTGTAGTAGTGTATAAGATTTCAGATTTTGTGCCACATGCAACAACTATGGCGCCCTTCACAATCTTCCATGAACTCTTTCCAA